TTTCCCTACTCTCTTTGAAAGTGCCGACATAGATGTGTATGTTTTAGAGCCCAGTTGTTCTGTCTGAAATCAGAACATCTCTTTTTTTAAATTTAAAATTGTTTCCTAACTAGCTACCTGTCAGCACTAGATTAGCCTCTTTGCTGACAGCACATAGAGAACTGCTTTTCCATTCTTACAGTGATCTCATGTGAGCCATTGCACTTCTGCAATCCTTCATTTAAAGGTATTTTATGAAGATGAGGCTTGTTTAGCTACTATGTACATGTTTTCAGCAGGCTCTTTCAGCCAACCCAGTGAATCTTATCCAAAGCAAAAGAGACAGTAATCGTACAGAGGTTATACTAATGCCAAACATTACTCCTACCTTTCCTTACCACACCTTTCATCTTGCTCAAATCTTCCCTAAACTCTTCCCTCCTATGAAAAGTACTTTGCTACTTTTGCCTTAACAGTAGCATAGCTCTACTGGCAGGAGCAATGGAGGAAGGCTGAGTTTGAAGTGTTTGTGTGAAGACCACAAAGTGGCCCCAACATCCTGCAACACAAGTGGGAAACAATCCAGAACACTGCATTGTGTATGCAATACATCCCACTGCTACCTCTATGTGCGCAGCTGCATTAATGCAATAGCAGTGCCATAGGATCATAGAATGGTCTGAGTTGGAAAGGACTTTATGATCATCTAGTTCCATCCCCCCTGCTGTGGGCAGGGAACGCTTCACACTAGACCATGTCACCCAAGGCTCTGTCCAACCTGGCCTTGAACACTGCCTGGGATGGAGCATTTACGACTTCCTTGGGCAACCCATTCTAGTGCCTCACCACTCCCACAGTAAAGAACTTCCTCCTTATATCTCACCTGAACTTCCCCTGTTTAAGTTTGAACCTGCTGCCCCTTGTCCTCTCATTACAGTCCCTTGTGAACAGTCCCTCTCTGGCATCCTTGTAGGCCCTCTTCAGATACTGGAAGGTATATTAACTATGGCCTGTTTCAGGAAGATGATAAGCATGGGTTAAATAAAATGATCTACAATTATTTAATTATATTAAACAATTCTGTTAGCATTGACATTCATGTTATCGTTGCTACTACTGATCAAAGATGTAGAACATCGAAGTATGCATGTTCAAATTCAAGGGGAAAACTAGTTTCCTTGTATTTAAATATCTACATTTGTGCACTTAGTGTTGAGTTAAGCAGCTGGTAACTCCAGCATGCAGAGTATTTTGTCTAGAAACTAGGTGAAGCTTTTTCAGTGGTACTGATAGCAGCTTATATTTGCTTAGAAAGACATTTTGGTTCTAATCCAAATCATCCTGTCAGAGACGAAATGAATTAGCACACAGAAAAAGGGGTTGGGAAAAAGGTTTATTTTTAGCTGCTTATTTAGGTTAATTCATTGTAATGTTTTACAACACAACCCCACAAACTCTCATTACAGTAATACTGAGCGGGTGGAAAAATATGGTGACAAAATTTCTTAAGCCAGCTTTGCTGGCAGGATAAGTGCATCACTCACATGACTATGTGGGTCAGGAAAGCATCTACAACAGAAAGATCCTGCTAAGTTTTCTTTTCTTTCTACAAATCACAAATAGTGCCGTGCTCTTTACAGTCTTGGATGCCTCCATTGCAATACAAGATTTGACTCCAGCAAATATTCCCTGATGGCCAATTGCACTGAAAGAACTCCAGATAAAATATTCTGGTAGGGTTTTTTTTGGTTGGTTTGGTTTGGTTTTTTTTCTTTTCTTTCCTTCTCTCTCCCCCCTTGTCTTTTAAATCAGAAAGTCTCTACAAACTGAAGTACAACTCCCCCACCCCAACAGGTAAATCAGCTGGTAATGAGGTATTTCTGTTTATATTATCCTGCATACAGAAGGTTTTTGTAGGACTTAACACACTTCACACAGCCTAGAAACATACACCCCTTACATCTGGGAAAGCAGTGCCCAGAGTTAGCAGCTATAGGATCTTTCACTGCTTGGCTGGGATTGACCATGCAATTGCCCACTGAAGATACAGTTCCATTTTTATTATCTACCAGGACGACTTGCTGTCGTGACTTCAGTTACAAAAATATGAGCTGTAATCCTACCACTGGGTAACTTACAGAGTATACCCATTATACTACATGGCATAACCAAGCAGGGATTGAGAAAAGATGTACCAGCAAGGAATATTACTTAGCTGGACACATTCCATTTCCCTAATACATCCACAAAATGAAAAATAGCTGCCATCATGCTTTACTGCATCCTAGTTACAGTGCTACACAATTCCCCTTTAGGCTTAATGTTGCAGGGAAATTGCTTTCATTGCATCAGGGCAGGTTAAATTGGCATCATTGCTAAGTATGAAAAATAATCAATAGAATATATGAAACAACGTTTCTTCATCCAGTAACTGAGTGCACAGTTTCTACAGTGATTTTAATGAGATGCAACCAGTTAGTGTACACAGACTTTCTACACAGAAAACTTGACCACCAGTGCAGCTCTTCCAGCACAACTATTTCACAAGAGCTATTCTGGGAGAGCTTCTCACTCTGTTTCCTTTGTTCTTGAACAGTGTCCCCACATGGAGGAAATTACTGCTGAACAGCCAAAGCCAATTAGAACAATTACCATGGTAAAATGTCATTTCTAAGTGATTCTAGACCCGGAATTATTAACTGACTGAAAAGGCACTTATTTTCTTCTTTTAAGCCTATATATTTCCTCTTTCAGTTTAATGTTTCAGTGGTCAGAAATACGATTTTGTACAGTGTTGCACCAAGCATAATTCATCATCACTGCAGTGAAGTGAGTGACTTGATTCTCAGCTATGTGCATTTTCATGGTCAATAAGTAAAATAGAGATGCTCAATGGCACGTGAACAGAATCAGATTCTACAGCTCCACCTTGTTTAGAGCCAAGAAGGAAAATAGAAATATGCAATTTTTCTTTTGGACATAAATACATACCAGCTATTAGGAAAGCCAGACACTGTCCAAGTTTCCTTCCGCTGCTGCTCAATCAGATCTGCCTGGAGTTTGCACTTACTGCCAGTTTAACCTCTCAACACAGTCCTCCATGATTAATTTCAACTTGATGCTAATGAAACATTTCCTGCTACCACTGTGCACATTATCTGAGCCTGAGAAGTATGAAAGTTCACAGGGTTGTAAGAAAGGTGTTCCTGCTTCCTGTTATGTGATGAGTTAGTTACTGTGGCAATACACTTTCTGTTGACAGTGTAGCTCTAGTTTACCAAGAATGCAACACTGAACATCCAGGACCAGGATACTGTGAACCTTAAAAGATAACTGAAATGAACTTAGGTCAAAGGAATACAAACAGGACATTCAATTTCATTTTACAGCAAGGCAGAAACTTTGCAATCGTGCCCAAAAGACAAAGTAGCTGAAACACAAGCATCCCTCCTTTCACGTAGAAACAGAATGCCATTTGGCAGATCACTCTTCTGTGACTTGAAAGTCATCTCCTCTAACAATAAAAACTTGAGAGAAGACTTCTGAGATCACCACTAATTAGAAAGACAATTCAAGACTGTAGGACTAATAGGGCTTTGACAGTGCTCCACAGTGAAGCATCACAGAAGCAATCACTAAAAACTGCTCATAGCAAGCATGGAAAAGTTCAATATGCTTGCACTGCAACACCAAGGTCATTTTTGCACTGATCAAGTTTCAGAAAAAATGAGCTGTAAATAATTAACCAACAAAAATACCCACAACTCCAGCCAACAGTTTAATTAAATTTAGAGTTTATTCCAAAATGACTATTTCTTTCATTAACAACAGTAGAATGTTTTGCAAGATCATCACTTGTATCTTGAAACAAAAATTGGAAGCTATTACATACTCACTCTTGAAATGTAATGTTAAACTTTATTGACTCTGAAAGTATACAAAGAAAGTCCTTATTTCCTTTGGGTAAACTGTTACTGTAAAGTTTCCTGAGGTCTCTGTCGTTTTGAAGAATCCTGTAAAACACAAAAACGTTGGTAATATATTAAAGAAGAGTAAATGTACATATTATTCTATCTCAACAGTTTTAACTCATCCTTTCCTTAAAAGATACTGCTTGAGCAGATTCTCCTCCTTAAAGCTGTAAGTAGTATGGAGTCTAAGATGCACCAATTCATAATATAAAAGTATACAACAATACATCTACTTCTCACACACTCATAAAGAAAACGTGAAACAACTCCCCAGTCATGCACCTTTTCTTAATCATGGTTAAACAGCAAGTAAGTTCCAAGCTGCAGGCCAAGCAGAGCTCTAAACTCTCACCTAGACCAGCCCCAAACCTCTGTAAGCTTTTTAAAAGGCATATATATGGATATAAGTGACTGTAAGAACAACGTCCAAGCAACCAACTGGAATGAGAAATGAAATGAGGTCACTCACAGCATGTGAGTGTCAGCCCCAACTTGAATCACATCCATGCAGTCCTTTAAGCTGATTACAGTGGGGATTTTTAAGTGCAGCTGTCTGTTTTTCTGCAGCACAGGCTTAAGCTTAGATTACCACAACTCATCAGCATCTAACAAAATCAATCTCTGTTACAAGTGTGAGTTCATGAAGTAACCACTTCTAGCTGGACAAAGGTAACTCCAGAAAGATTTCAAGTTTTTTAACACTTCTAGACAAAACAAGCCATCAGAGAAATACAGTAGTCTAGTACTTGCAGGGAATCTTTGCTAAATGCTACTACTTGCAGGTTGTGCCATATACCAGGTCTGACATATAGAACAACAAAACATTTTTAATCTCACAAATATTTTAATATTTTTAATTAGACTATTTATCAAGCTTCCACAGTCAATCACAAAATGGACACCAAACACCTTACTCCACTTACCTTTGCCTGGATGTTGTGTAGTCTTCCATTTCCACCGCTTCAAAGTATTTACATCCCAGGTGCCTGTGAGTGATCGCTCTTCCACTACTGTCACTGACCCTAATCCCTTTAGCAAAGACTGTGAGTAAAGAAAACACAAGAAATCAAACCACAAGTTACTGACAATAGCATCACACTCACCACTACACAGTTACACCAGTGCAGAACTTTCATCTCCAGTATTGATGTGCTAAGCAGAGAAGTAGAGACTTCAGAAATCTGCCAGGTCATGCAACACAAGAGCAACTACAGATTCACCAGGCTTCAAGTGAACAAGCTGAGGTGCTGTGCTACAACACAGCTTCCCCTGTGTTGTAGCAAAGTTCAGAGCGTACTAATCTCTCCGTTTAAGAGCTGAAATTCACACTGCACTTTTTTAAACAAAACAGAGATTCCTACACCTTGTTCCCCATGTTCCTGTCATTACAATCAAAACTTCATATTTTAGAATACCCCCTGCCATGTATTATAAAATCATTTACTTCCATATGAAAGACCAAATAAACAAGAAAGTGAAAATACATGGTACATGCTAGAAGTGACTGAAGTTTCAACAACTTGCAGATATAACTATACAGGAAAAAAATATTTCTTTTAATCCTATCCACATTTCATTAACTGCAGGTACAACTTGCAATAACTAAAGAAACAGCAAAACAGAATGCCACTCTCTGCACTGATTAAGGTACTGCAGGAAGTGTTACACAGCCAAGAGCTCAACAGAACCAGTCCTACCAATATTTATGCAGATCTTCATGCGTGCCTGTGGCAGCTTCATATGAAGTAATGCCTCCTGTGTTGCAAAAATATGACCTGCTTCCCCCTGAGGTTTAACTTATGACAGTGTTTTTTCATCCATCTTTTGTGGATTCTGTAGCATACAGGATGTTTCATTCCAGAACCAGTTCTCTCTGGAACAAAACCACCTCAAGTGGTATTCTGCCCTGAAAGATTAGATTTACCTTCAGATCTACCACCACAGGTTGAGACAGCAAAGGATCCTCTCCAACTTCATACAAGTGCCTAATTCTTAGCAGGACACGACTGAAGTCTGCATCACCTTGCTTCTGTCTACCTTTAAGAGAAAACAAAATGCAAACATTTTCTTACTATAAAAATAAACCCAACTTTTAATCATTTTTTAAAGATCTCACAACTTGAACTCAATTCCTATTGCTTAAAATTAGCAAGAAGACTAATGGCAAGAAACACCCAGCTCCCACTGTTGAGAGGAATGGCACTAACAGGCATGATGAACTCATGCAGGAGAAATATTTTCCTATTTGAGTAGAGAAATCATACAGTCCAATTAACTTTCTCGATAGAGGAACTTAACACTTTGAATAAACAAAATTAGCCACAGAAGATAGAAAAAACAGAAAGCTTCTTTAAGTGTAACAGACACCCTTTTAAAGGCGCCTTACCCATGTGGATGCTGCGGACCTGCTCTGCATGATCAGAGCTGTATCTCCACCCTGGAATGCTCAGAGTCTGGAGATGAAGATTAGGTGGGACAGTTACATGTGAACTGTGGACTGAATTCTGCTGAAGCTGTCTGTGTATCTTTGGTTTATCTCCTCCATCTGACAAGAAAGAAGGCAAACGTCAAATATCCATCATGCACACAACCTGGCTAGGGTACTGTGGAAGAGATTTTTGCTTATTCTGCCAAGGCAGATGCAGAACACATGCTGTATTTCTCCTCCAAGACCTTCTGAGATACAGAGCAGAAAGCAGCATGGTTTTATCTGCTGGTGAAGCATATTAGAGCTTTCCATAAAGCAAATTTCATTGCAGCTTGAAGTTGCTATTCCATTACCAGGCTTCAGTTTTAGTTAATAAGTCAAACAAATATTTTTAAAAGAATGACTTAAAAATGGTCATTAAGGACTCAGCATCCAGGAAGCTGATATATGGCGCACTAGCCACTCTGCTCTAATTCCCCACGTGGACATTTTATTCTCACTAGATGCTTTAAAATTTATTCTCCTTTGAAAGTAGAGATAATTACATAACAAGAGAAACATTTCATACGCTTGGACAACATCCATGTTTGAAATTAATGCGAAGTAATTAATGGGCTTTAAATCTGCCTACTAACTCCCTATATACTAACTTTGCTACACAGGAGGCTTGAAGTCTGCATTTACAGACTTCACAGCATAAATCAGAGCAACATAAGCAAGCCATTCGGATGTTAAAGATAGCACAGGAGACAGAATGAGTTACCTGATGATGCTCCAAACATTACTACTGGCCTGTGTTCTAATGCCAGTCCACTTGTCCAATACAAAATACTGGTGACAGCTTTTGTTCCTAAAATAAGCCACATCACAGGGTGAACCACTGAAGAGTCATTTAAAGTGAGGTTGTAATCCAGGTCCCACTGAAGGTTGTTCCATAGCCTCCTGTGAAGCATTACCTGTATTGGGAAGGTGAATGTCACAACAATAATCAGCCATCATGCTTTACTTATAAGCAGCCATGAAATTATGCTTGCCTAGAAAAAAAGTATTTTTATGTTACCTCTACTTGTCCATTTCCTTGGCTTGAGACACCATGAGCTCTTTCTGCAAGAAGCACCAGCCTTGTGGTATCATCCTCAATGTAAGCAGTCTGGACCATAGGGTAATAGTTCTGAAAACACACAGTAAATCATGCAGTGATTAATATTAACCTAGGTAACAGTAATGGAGAACAACGATAAGACACAACTGACTTTGGATCACACTTTTGTGCCTACCCGAGCCACTGTGTTATTCTCGTATGCCTTGAACGGTCTTTTCTGAATCTGATATCCATTGCTGTCAGTGTAGAGTAGCTGCCTGGTGTCCAAATTTGTACTTGTTCTTAGAACCGCTTCACAATTTAATTCCAAAGGCCCAACTCTGTATTCTTGCTCTATCCTATGGCAAAGCAACTTCCCATCATAGCCTTCTGGTACCCTATACATCCTGGTATACAGTGCATATATGTAATCCTGAGAAGTAACATTACTATAAAAATGAGAAGAAAGATACGCACAGTTTATAAAGTGGAGCACTTAACTGGTTATGTCAAGACTTGCAAGACACTCATGATATCATCCTACACATAGACAACTTTCTCGCCTGTTTTCTACGTATTTCATGTACATGTACAAATATTTTTAATTTAAATTTGATTTTCAAATGTACTGATACTCAACTGGAGTAAGCGATATCCTACAATTTTCTTTAGTGTTGCAGGTGTAACGAGAACTATTCACTCGATTAGAGAGGCTCTGTTTTACTCAAAATTAACAAGAAATTTTAAAATAATTGTGACTCCCTGAGCAACACATTTACATTGTGCAGAATACATGTGTTTTTTCAATCTGCAACATGAACTTCGATGCGAGAATTCCACTGTTTTCTCAACTACAATCCTTGTACAATGCCATGTAAAGCAAAAGGCTTCAATCAAATAACAAGATTTAAAAGAGGGTGAAGGGTTACAGACTGATAAAATTTTAACACAGAAAAGTAGCTTATCAGGGATCAGAGCAACCTTGTGTAGGACTCCTTTCTCCTTTCTCACTTATAAGAAAGATTTTCACAGTTATAAAAATGAACCATCATGGCTGTATTCCACCCATGTAAAATGACACTAGCTACAATTCTCATTGCATTGTATGAAACCAGGATCCCAACAGAAGCTGCACTACAAAATGAACCACAGAAGACACCAAATAATCCTCACCTCCCTCCCTGCAGCAATATGTGCTATTTAAAGGAGGTGCTTCCTCAGCACTATATTTAGCAGACGCATGCTAGTCCTTCTGTCTAAATCCTAAACAGTACACAGAGCTTGCTGTTTAAGAGTAACTACACAGAATTAATCTCATCCGTAGCTACAGAGAATTAAACATTCCAGTGAAGTGAAGCTGTAATGGTGTTGTACCTATAGAAATACTGCCGTATCTCTGTCATCAAATTTCCAGAAACCACTTCCAATCCCACCGCTTTTGACACTGGAACAGCTGAAGCATTTGGGGCAAATAAGTAGTTATCTGAAATCGGTCCCTTCGTGGTGTCTCCATTCACACGGTACTCAAGGAACTCCTGAGTCAACTGGACAGTCTGGTTAGTCTCCCTGTGAGTACAGAGAAAAGGAAAAACCATGTTACATTTTGTACATAACAGATGCAAAGCTGAACTGCAACAGGAATGAGGCTGGGAATGTAAGCAAAAAAATCTGTTTCCTCAAAGTGGGTAACTGATTTTATAAGATTTAGGAAACGAGGGCAGCACAGAATTTAAAATGCTTCCCATTAAGGCATCTTTCAGTGCGTAAATAAATGGAGTTTCTATGTCATTTTATACTTCTGTAAAACAGAAACATCTTAAGGCAGAAACATCATCTACATTAGCTCATTGCTTTGATGCGAGAGTTGCTACAGGATGAAAACCCACCCACTGCACAAAAATGAGGTACACTGCACTGTATTAATGAATAATCAGGTTCATTTAACTGACTTTGTAGCTAGGTAAATCAGCACGATGCAAGTTTCCATAGTTCACACTGGTAATGAATATAACGGCAATGGGATAGCAAAATTTACACTCGCTCAGTATCTACTTTGTCTTCTCCTCCCCTGAAGCTTACAGTTTAGCTATTCATGATTCCATATCACAGTCTTTAGAAAGTCAAATGAAGGCAATTTAAGATGCTATTGCTCTCTACCTGCTCTGCTCCTCTCTTGGAACCTTGCTGGCAAAACAGGAAAAATCACTTTGTCTGGCATATAAATGTAAATTGCCAACCATTTTAGCTAGTGCTAATACAGTGACTGACAAATTATAATGGCTGAGGTGCAAAACACACCCATTTCTTTTCTGCTGCTCCTGTTCTGAGGCAGTTCCAGTGTAGGGTCAGAACCTAGAGGTTCTAACTGATGTACCCAAACCTTATATGTTTTTTTTAATCTTCCCTCCCATTCTGACCTGGTGCTTCGCTCTTTCTCATTACTCCAGGGCAAACTTGCTGAAACTCAAACATTCTGGCCTTGCCTGCAGGCTTGTGAAGAAAGTGAATAGTCTACATCCTGAATTCCAGCTCTTGCTGCCTGACAGAACAGGATGGAAAAAAAATGGAATGTGAATTTAGATTTTCCTTCTTCCTCATTATATTCCTTATTATATTCCTCATGGAATCTGGAAACAGTTAGGATCTGGAGGCACTTTGAGAAGGTGCTTATTCCAGCGTGCTTAGTTAAGGCTGATCTATACTTCTAAAGCTGATTTTAACTAAACATAGATGAAAAGTTCTTGTTCTAAGAGGCAGAATTATGAACAAAAACACAAAGGTGAAAGATGTCTAGTAGTCAATAGGCCAATGTCAAAGGGATCAAATCTTCCATCAGTATATAGCTGACAATCTGAATCCTGAGAAGGCAAAAAGCAGCACAAATCCACTAAAGCTGAAGAAAATGGGCCAATTCACGTCAGCTGAGACAGAAAATCTGCAAACACCAAATCTCACCTAAATCTTGAATGTTCATCATTTTATCTGCCTGATTAAATGGAATTTCCTTAGTTTTTTCCCTTCAAAATGTTTTGTCATTTTTTACCATAGGAAGAGTGATAACGGAACTTGCAAAACACTACTGCTTAGCAAGAGAAAGCTCTTGTTTTATTACTGAAGGCTCACTGTGCAGCCATAGTGTATGTACTTATTTATTTTTAATACAAATACATTAGCAGAACTTTTAGTTCTAAAAGTTTAGAACTTTTTAGTTCTAAAATACAGTAAGATTCTGCTGATTACTGGTTACTACTGTGGTATGTCACCTTAGACTGACTGTACAATCAATCAGGGCAACAACATTACAGAAACAGTACGAAATCACACCTATGCTAGTGTTGATTTTCCCTGAAGAAGAACACGTGAACTGGAGGTAAGAAAGAATTGTAAAGAAGTTAAAGAACATTTTATCAGTGAAGTCTCAGAATTAAGGCATGATACAGTCCTTGAGCTTATTTTTACAAATGGTTTTAAAACTTTCATAATTTGAAACATTAAAACCAAGCAGGCAATCTCACCTCTCCGTAATGCTGTGCATTAGATTTGTGTTTTGGTCAAACAAGACCTGGTAGCAGTTGTTAACCACAGGAAGCAACTGTTGACCTTGTTGATCTGCATGAGTTAGGTCTTTTCGCTCGTACTTGACAGATTTTCCAATAAATGCAGACTGCTTGCTGTTCAAGGGTTTAACATGGTATTTTCTGTAGCTCAGACCACTTACTGCAACTAGAATATATAGATCATATGTAGAATGGGATTCCGCCGAGCTTTGAACCTGTATGTTAACATACACAATAATGCTCCATTACAGAAAATTAATTGGCAAGGCAAATACCTTCATGTGTTGTAAGCCCTAAATTACAAAAAAATAACTATGTTAAAAATAAGTTTCTAAACATGCTGTTTAGAAAGATCTGTGCTGCTTTTAATTGGATTAAGCTTAGACTTTCTACTTAAGGAAAGAGGGTCACTAAGTAAATCACAAACTTAGACCTTATTTTAACATGAGCATGGAATTGTAGTTCTTGATTTAAAATCACGCTGCAAAATGTCTATATAAGCAGAAATAAAAAATTAAACTAATCAGCCAAGTGACAGAAAAAGAGACTGAAACATGATTCTCACCCCAAGTCAAATCCCTTTGAGGCAAACACCAGACTTCCCCATTCTCCCACATTACCCACCAATTGCACACAGGTCCCTGAGCAAAAGCAATTCCATGAATGGCTTTGCCTCTACCTGGAGCAGGAATAACCCAGGCTGTTTTCCCTAGCATATTTTTTATGTGCTTTGCAGGAACCTCATCCCTTTCTATAGTACGTAAAAGTTTTGACTGGGCCGGGTCAGCCTGATTGGCAAATCCTCTAGTGTTGACTAACCAGGTGATGTTTGGTAAATGTATATCCCAGTGTTTGAAAG